TAGGGAGGGATAAACACATTCAAAGGTCAACAGTGGAACTTTTTGTTTCTTCTTCCCTTCCTGTCTCAACCTTACACCACTGAGTGCAATAGCTCTCCAAGGAGGGTATGCTGTGACTCAGGTAGGTTTTCCAGGGCTGGCTTCTCCAGCATCTCCCTATTTCAGGGATCCAGGTTGTGGTGAAAGAGGACCCTCTGAAGAAAGTGGTGAAGGAAGACAAGTACTGGGTCAACAACTATTTGGACTATAAGTATAGACCACGGCCTGTTGATGAGATCATCAGCTTGGCAAAGAAGACAATTGGTAAGAAAGTGAAGTACAACCTTCTGTGTTGTAACTGCGAGCACTTTGTTACCGAGCTGAGATACGGCAGATGCCACAGCAAGCAGGTAAGGCCCCCCTTTGGCAATCCCTTTTGGAGTTCTGTCTATGGAGAAGGGGAGAGGACATCTGTTGGAAAACATCAGAGGAGCCCTTGTGATATTTATTATATTGATAAAAAATTCCAGGTATTGAGAGTTGGGCATCTCATTAATATGGGAAATATGAATATGGTGGGAAGGAAAATTAATATGGCTTCATGTGATGTGAGAAGGGGGTGCACCAGTCCTGGGCTTCTCTTTGACTGAGAACAATGTACTATTCTACTTTGCAGGGTAATTGTGCAATGGCATCAATGGGAATTGTGTCCCTATTGCTTTTTATCCCTTGAGTAATACTCACTGGAACAATAAGTGCTTGAAGAAGTAATTAAAAATGTCTACATTAGAGGCCACTTCACAGACCAGCTGTTCCTCTATATGCCTGTCTCTTTCACTGACTTTTGGAAAGATCAATTGTAACAAGACTGTGAACTTCTTGAAGAATAAAATGAATGAATCTTTTTACCCCTTCATCAAATATCTCTACTAGTTCATTGCAAACTCACGAATCCTCTGAAGGGCAGAAACTACCATTAATTATCTGTTGGGCACTTCTCACTGCACAACCTTGAAAAAGGCTCATAAATTAATCTCCGAGTTTTAACTTCATCTATAATTTCAGAGTAATGATGTCTGCTTTATCATATTTTTCTAAGAATGAATGAGTTGGTGTAAGTAAGATGCTTTAGCACAATCCCTAACCCATAGCAGATGCTCAATAAATTTACTCAAAACATCTTACTTCAGCCTTGATTACTTTCACTCTCAGGGTGGGCAAGAGATTTAGTTCTTCTTTGTGTAATCCCAACATTTGGTACATGAATCCAAAATCCCTGGCAGAAAGACATATTCCACCACACTCCCAGTGCCCTTCTGTTCAGCCTTTGTTTTAAAGGACATTCATTTGTAACAATCTAGGCTTTACCACCTGTGACTAGGGACACTAAGCGTCAGAACTGACTTGATGGCAATTGCTTTTGCAACTACTGTGTTATGACACAGTCACAGTCAAAGTACCCCCGGTTTGATCTCTGGAAATTATCCTTCCTCAAAATGGCTTCCAGCTATTTTCCTGCTTGATTCAGGTGTGATGTCAGAAATGTCCTTCCATTCCGGTGTCCTCATCCTGCAGGCTGCCATGTTGTTGTCTCTCTCATCAGTGACCCTCCCCCCTGGATAAAGGCATCCTCCAGAGGGCTCATGACGACAACCATCATTCTGGCCCAGAGGACAGATAGTATCTTCCACTTTGCTCAGTATTTCAATGATATGAAAGATTGGTCCACTCATCTACACAGTACAGCAAATACAAGGATGTAGCTAATAATAATAATAATAAAATTACTGGAAGCTCAGGGTTCCCTGAAGTTAAGAGTAACACAGGGACTAACTTTCTACTCTTATTCCTAAATGTGGCTATGCTCAGAGCCCCAGGCCTACATCAATTCAAATATTTACGGAGTCCTGAATGGTGATTGTGCTTTGGTCCTGATCTTC